CGGATGCTTCTCCCTGCTGAACATTACAGAGGCACCTTGGTTAAAATGGACGTGACTCAGTACCACGGACCACTTTCCTTGTGCTTCTATGAGCCCATGTGTGACCACAACCCCACCACACAGCACCGTGGTGGGAGAGAAGGGTTCTAACTACTCTATGAATTAGGGTCAACTCTTTATCTACTGAGGGATGGGGGAGGGGCGATAGTGCACAACGGCAGACATTCCAAAATACCTGTCACCCTAGTGTCTACAGCAGAGAGCCTGGTTACACAGTGGAAGGTGCAGCACTCCTAAGGCCCTGGGGATAATCCGCTGGCCTGTGGTCTGAGTTCCTCCCCACTCCCTCTTGCTCTTGCCCAGGGCCAGGGCTGGCTCCCCAGGCCCAGCCTGCCAGGGAGTGTCAGGCTTTTGTAAGGGACTGTCGAAGCACAAGATGTTAGGGGCTCATGACTACACTTCCCACTGCCCTGCCTCTGGCAGCCACCAGCTTTGGCTCTAACTCCAGACTTTGCTCTTGGTGAATTTCTGTAGTGCTGGGGATGTGCGTATGGGAGGAGAGCCCTCAGTTCAGGAGCGCTGCTCAACCAGTGGCGTAGAGACACAGAGCGGAACCTGGAGTTCACTGGGCAATCACTTCATCTCTGCACGCGTAGCTACCAGCAAAAATGAAGTCCCAGCTCTGAGGAGCCCTGAGGATGGACGGTTCCTGTCATGACCTCTGATCAGCACCCAAGCAAGATGCAGAGAGCAGGTGGGAGGGAAGCTGCCTTCTCCAGGCTGGGCAGTGGCAGAACCCTCAGGGCTCGGGCAGTGAGCACTCAGGAGAGAAAGAAACCAACACCGGCTAGAGCCACAGCTGACCCAGAGAACAGCTTGGTTTGGGGGATCCCTCTGCCACTGGGGCTAGGGGTCTCCTATAAGGTAGTTTTATGCCCCACTTCAGAGGAGGCCAGAGCCCTCAGATCTTTTCAGCAAATCAATCAGGCCTGTCATCAAAACACTGGAGCCCCTCCTGGCCCTCATCTACTGTTGATCCCACATGGCAGCTTACAGGGGGCTAAAAGGGTGAGGGTAGGTGCCTTTCACTAGTATTCCAGTCACTCAAGGAGAGCTCTCTTCAAATTTGGGGTGATGGGCACCTCCTCAGGGGCGCAGGATTTTACGTTTTGCTTTTAACTGTGGCTGTTCGTGACAATCCCAAATGCAAATTCCAGTGTGCACCTTTGTCTAATTTCCAAATTTTTAAAAAACAATCGTATGTCCTAAGAGTTCAAAGTACATAAAACGGCAGTTATTCTAAGAAAACAGGCTGCTAAAGAAGAAAGGCTTTGATTAATATTAAAAATAGGCAAGGCTGTGCTTTCCATAGCTCATGTAATAAAGTTTGCCTAATACCTGTTCCTCTAAATAAAAATGACTTAGCATGTGTGTACATTCAAAATATAAAATAAAAAGCACTAGTTGTAGAACTCTGTAATCAAATTCCCTAAATTAATTGTGTTGGGGGGAGGAGGGAGAGGCTTTTTGTAAACAACTGGTTGCAGACATTCACACTGAGTCATCTGGAAAAAGCTGGACTCTGGATTTGGATGCTTCTCGGGTGTAAGCTGGACTCTGGGCTGAATCTGTGTAATTCCACTCCAGTTTTCGAGGTGTTATAAGTGGGGCTACAATATCACCATCCTGTCAAAGAGAGAAACTAGACATAGAGAAAAGCCAGTTTTCATGGTTTTGAGCGAACGCCTCAGGTACACATATCTCCGTCCTGCAGACAGATTGCTTCTGGACAGACTTACTCTTGGGAAACCCCAGACTGTATATATGCTCAGTGTGTGGGCTGAATTAAAAGCACCACGGTCCTAGCAAGGGAAGAGCCCTCAGAGCAAAAGCCACCAGACCTATTTTCACATGGCTAGGTTTTACGGCCCTCTCCCTTCACACACTTCCACGGAACACACTCTCCTCTTTCCAGGAGAAAGAGGGCCCGCACTGGACCCCTGCTCCTCTCTTTCCTAGTCTCCCCTGTAATAAATGTCCCAGGTCCGTAAGACGGCAAAGAGGGGAAGGACAGTGTGCGCCTGCAGAACTTGAGCTTTGCTCCACAATCAAGGCTATAACTTTGGCCCCATCAGCATTGACTCCACCCAAAACAAGGGATGGTGTCAAAGTGAAGTGACACTACGACTTGAAAACAAAGAGTGTGAGAAGCTAGGCCCTCTAACACCTGACTCTATCCTGAATCGTTCTTGAACTTGTGGATGGATTCTCGAGGTTATATGAGGGTACAGGATTCGTGAGATCCTTTATCGCACTAGGAAGAGAATGCTTGTGATAGAACATCGTGGCCTTCAGTTGCCTACTTGCTCTCAGATCCCCTCTTCGCCTCCCTCTGCTGTGCTGCATAACAGGAGCTGCTCTTGTGAACTACGTTTCCCAGCTCCCGTGTCTACTGGCCTCCAGTCAGGTTTGGCCGATGGGAGGCACTGGTGGGAGGCTGGAAGAGAGGGGGGCAGAGAAGCCAGGGTGTCTCTCCCCTAACCCCTCTGGCTGGGTACAGTGGCTGTGGTTCTAGCTTCTGCAGGTGGCCCAGCACCTGGACTCCCTCCTCCCACCCTAGAGGTGGCAGCAGCTCCCTCCTGTTGTCTCACTGTCCTGTTTGCCCATTTAGCTCTTCTAAAGCTTTCGGATCTCATGCCCCGTATCACATTTCTTCTGCTGACCTATGCTGGATCTGACTTGATAGAGCTATTATTAAAAGCAGCCACACTATTGCCATGACACTCATATTCGGAAGACCCATACCTCAAGTCAACATGATTTGTTTTCAAACTCGTCTCTATTTCTACCAAACGTCCTTATCTCTACCCGTTCTAATTTCAACTCTAGTGAATTTTATGAACGCCGACTTGACTATGTCACTTTCCTGCTTACACACCCCAGTGGCTCCCACTGCTCTGGTGCTCTTGGCTTACAGCACTGTGCACAGTGCCCCGCCCCCATCCCTAAATGCACCCTGTTCTCTCTCACCTTCCGGCCTCCCCCCCACCCCACTTTACCCAGCTGACTCCTCACCCATTCTTCAGGTCTCAGCTTCCAAGTCCCTCTTTAAATAAGCCTTCCCCAACCAACCAGACTTAAACCCGGCTCCTTTTTGCTCCTCTAAGACTGCCCACACTGCCCCTGACCCCAAAGCACTTACCACACCATTGTGACTGTTATTTACTCATGTGTCTGTTATCCCCAAATAGAGCGAAACCCATGGGAACTGTCTCAGGTACCGTTCCATCCCTGGCCCCTAACATAGGGCCTGGTGAAAACACTCATTCCCTGACTGAATGTATCTGGATTTAAGGTCACTATCACATGGCTGAACTTGAATAGCCTCTTGTCTCTCTGCTTCCAGTCTCTCCACCTTCCAATCCATCTGCTTCTAGAGTTTTCCTTCTTCATCAGGGGTTTAGTCTCCTTAGGAGCTACAGTACCTAAGACAGACATACTTCCTTATTTCCACTGGTCTCACTCTAGCTGACAGCAGCATGGTAAGTCTTGAATACTCTGCCCACCGTATATAACAATAAATCTTTCTTAGCTGATTACCCACGCTTGTCCACAATCCAGCCGACTCTTCCGTTTCCATCACCTCAACAATAAGACTTTGAGGCCCCCAGACACACCCAACTTGTTCCAGTTTCATTTTTGTGTAGCTCCCATTTCTCTCTGCTACTCATCCAAACACAATCCAGCCTTCTGGATGTAGCAGAATCCTCCCTCCTGCCTAAGACTTTTCTTTCTTCCTTTTTTTTTTTTTAACATCTTTATTGGAGTATAATTGCTTTACAATGGCGTTAGTTTCTGCTTTATAACAAAGTGAATCAGCTATACATATACATATATCCCCGTATCCCCTCACTATTGCGTCTCCCTCCTACCCCTATCCCACCCCTCTAGGTGGTCACAAAGCACCGAGCTGATCTCCCTGTGCTATGCGGCTGCTTCCCACTAGCTATCTATTTTATATTTGGTAGTGTATATATAAGTCCATGCCACTCTCTCACTTCGTCCCAGCTTACCCTTCCCCCTCCCCGTGTCCTCAAGTCCATTCTCTACATCTGTGTCTTTATTCCTGTCCTGCCCCTAGGTTCTTCAGAACCATTTTTTTTTTTTTAAGATTCCATATATATGTGTTGGCATACGGTATTTGTTTTTCTCTTTCTGACTTGCATCACTCTGTATGACAGACTCTGGACATACTCCACCTCACTACAAATAACTCAATTTCGTTTCTTTTTATGGCTGAGTAATATTGCATTGTATATATGTGCCACATCCTCTTTATCCATTCATCTGTCAGTGGACCCTTAGGTTGCTTCCATGTCCTGGCTATTGTAAATAGTGCTAGAGTGAACATTGTGGTACATGACTCTTTTTGAATTATGGTTTTCTCAGGGTATATGCCAAGTAGTGGGATTGCTGGGTCGTATGGTAGTTCTATTTTTAGTTTTTTAGGAACCTCCATACTGTTCTCCATAGTGGCTGTAACAATTTACAGTCTCACCAACAGTGCAGGAGGGTTCCCTTTTCTCCACATCCTCTCCAGCATTTATTGTTTGTAGCTTTTTTGATGATGGCCATTCTGACTGGTGTGAGGTGATACCTCATTGTAGTTTTGATCTGCATTTCTCTAATGATTAGCGACGCTGAGCATCCTTTCATGTGTTTGTTGGCAATCTGTATATCTTCTCTGGAGAAATGTCTATTTAGGTCTTCTGCCCATTTTTGGATTGGGTTGTTTTGTTTTGTTTTTGATATTGAGCTGCATGAGCTTCTTGCATATTTTGGAATTCAGCACCACCAAACCAGCTCTACAACAAATGCTAAAGGAACTTCTCTAAGGCTTTTCTGACAGCTCTCCCAAAGCTCTGAGTCCTAACAGACTCACCTGTGTCCCTCCCTCTGGCATCTGACAAAGAGCCGATGTACTGGGCTACTCTTTCACGTCTCACCTTTGGTTTTTGTTTCCTTCAGCACCCAACACATGGGGGCGGGGTGGGAAGCAGCTAAGGTGTTGTGAGAGACGGCACCAGGCCAGGAAGTAGAACTCTGTTTCCCACCTGCCTGCCAATCATATTCATTCAGTCAACAAATATCAACTGGTCACATTCTCTGTGCCAGGCACCCACCATGTGCAGGTCAATAAGGGACAATTTCAACAATATTCTCTATGGGATTGGCAACTAGAGAATTTAAATAGGTTATAGGTTTGGGAATGCTGAGTTTGAAATAAGTTAGAAAACTTGTTATCAGTTATATGTGGCCTTAAATAAGTTAAAACTCAGCTTTGGTAACCTTCTCTTCAAGATGAGGACACAATATCTCACCCCCCAGGGTCACTGGGAGGACTGGGTGAGACAACTGGTGAGAACACTGTCAAGTACTATTCACATGTTCACCATCTTAAACTTTTATTAGGACAATAGTGATAAACAGAGCACCCACTCACAATTGCTGTAGGAAGAAACTGCTGGTGGACACAGGTTCAGGCATTTTAAAAGGAGAGCTTAATGTGGAAAAACCTTTTTCTCCCAAACCAAAACCAAATGACATTTATTTATTTACTTTAAACTTTTAATTTCATATTGAAGTATAATTGATTAACAATGTTGTGTTAGTTTCAGGTGTACAGCAAAGTGATTCAGTTATATATACACATGTATCTCTTCTTTTTCAAATTCTTTTCCCATTTAAGTTATTACATAATATTGAGCAGAGTTCCCTGTGCCACACAAGGTCCTTGTTGGTTATCCATTTTAAATATAGCAGTGTGTACATGTCAATCTCAAACTCCCCAACTATTCCTCCCCCGTACCGTTCCCCCCAGTAACCGTAAGTTCGTTCTCTAAGTCTGTGAGTCTGTTTCTGTTTTGTAAATAAGTTCAACAAATGACTATATTTAAATGAGAACTTTTCAGAGGGATGTAAGGATTGCTTGTGTTTTTTACTTAAACATTTGTGCAATGTATGTGAATAATGTCACCCACCTGTGGCTTGGTGAAGTCATTGATTAAACACCAGTGAACGAAATGCTGTTGTGCAGCATACAGACTCCTTTTATCAGTCTTCTTACAATAAACTCGAATCAGCTGCTCAGCAAATACCTCTGGCAAAAACTGTGAAACCTTTTTAAAGAAGGAAAAATTTCACTGTCACCTTGAATTCACACACTGAAGAGAGATCAGCTGTTCCTAAGCTCCATGCTTGATGTTATATTAAAAGCACCATGTTGTTTTGCTATTTTATCCCAATGATAATCCAGAGAAAAGAATTCAAGGCAGCTGTCATATTGCAAAATGTCCCGCAATTTTATGTCCATTAATAGAAGATGAAAGGTTTGTATGATATAATTACATGAAGACTACTGACTCTCACACAGAAGATATGCAAATATGCACATTTCACTTAGATGACTTCAACCATATGACACTCCCTTCCCACCAGACTTATAAGCTAGCCTCTAAACCAAAAAACAGAGCTTTCTTCCGTGTTTAGCAAACAGGAAAAACTGGCTCCTAAGATGGTCTAGGCTACACAAAATCAGGTATACTTTAATTTTAAAGATATGCTTCTGCTTCTTTTTTTTTTAACAGTACACATTGACTTTAGGACTCAACCTGAAAGTAAAATGCAATTTACTGTAAAGTTCCAAATGCCACTGTAGTATATTTGTTTTACCTAAGTAGTTACCTGATTTTTAGTAATCATGATTGCCTGGCTGGGCTCACTCTTACAATAGAAGCGAACATGATCAATAGGATTCTTGTCTTCCATCCCATAATCCATGTTGATAACCTTAATACAAGCAATAAATAAGTGATCGTGTACATAATAGCAATGAGAGTTCAATTCAGGGTTGTGGGGCATCACAGGAAATGAAGCAGAGCTCTCTGGAGGTTGAGAAGTAGGAGCCCTGGTAGGGTGGCTCATAGCGGAATAAAGGTAGCTCTGGTGCATGACCCATAGGGAATTGGTCTTTGAAATCTGGGTGGGGTGGGAGGGGTATTTGTGCTTTCAACGTAATTAGGGTATAACGTCAATACCTACTATGTGATAGAAACGTGGCAGGCACTGTTGTGTAGAGATACAAGGACCCTTGATAAAATCGCAGCCCCCGTAGACCACATGGCCTAGACTGAGGTAGAACAAATAATTTAAAAAGTAACTATCGGGAATTCCCTAGTGGTCCAGTGGTTAGGGCTTGGTGCTCTCACTGCTGGGCCCGGATTCCATCCCTGGTCAGGGAACTAAGATCCTGCAAGCTGTACAGCCTGGCCAAAAAAAAGTAATTATCTAACACCATTTGTCATAAGAGCTACCAAGGAAAAGCAAATGGTACTGTGAAACTTTGTAACCTGGGAACCTAGTAGTCTGGGGCTCCTAGGCAATGACTGGAAATGTTTTCCTGGGAAAGTGACTTTACTAATAAGTGAGCAGGAATTAACCAGGCCTAGGTAGGAAAGAAAAGAATTCCAGGCAGAAGAAACAGCTCTGAAGCAGAGAGGACTGAAACTTGTCTGCTGGTTTTAGTAACACTGAAGTCATTGGTGATCTTAGTGACAGTAGTTTTAATACAGGCAGACGTCAGAGATATTGCAATACATGCAAAGTGCAATAAAATGACTTGCAATAAAATGAAATATAGCTGTATAGTGATGGTGACAGAGAAAAGGTTCAGAAGTAGATGAGACGGGACTTCCCTGGCGGGCCGGTGGTTAAGACTCTGTGCAGGGGGCACGGGTTTGACCCCTGTTTGGGGATCGAAGATCCCGAAAGCCATGTGGCGTGGCCAAAACAAACAAACAACAAACAAGGCAAAACAAAAAAGAAGTAGATGAGAAGTGAGAGAGAAGACAACTTTTGGAAGTTTGGCTGTTACGAGAGGCAAGAGGGGAGAATATGAAGCGGATCATGGTACCCAGGAAAGGTAAGGGGACACAATTTTTTGATGAGTTTAACCCTGAAGAAGAGAAGATGGGTAAAGAGGGGTGCGGGGTTTGTTATTTTCTTAAGATGAAAGTCTGTTTAACTGCTGATGGGAAAGTCAAAGAGAGAGAGGAGAGAACGCATACTGTGTGGTTCTGCAGACGTTCTGAGACAAATTGCTCTCTGGCTGTACTGCCCAATGGGGTAACCACTGGCCATGTGTGGATTTTTACATGTCAAGTCGTTAACATTAAATATAAGAATAAAATTAGTTCTTCAACTGCAGCAGCCACATTTCAGTGCTCAATAGACATGTGTGGCTAGTCACTACTGAAATGGACAGCACAGATACAGACCATTTCCATCACCACAGGAAGTTCTATTGGACAGCCCTGGCCTGGAACACAATTAGAAGGGTTACCCTTAGCCTTTTGGTAGGAAGAGAGACACTTCCCCACTGTACCAGCACGAAGTCTGAACACAGCTGCACATGGAGGCAGGCTTGTTTATTTGACGGTGTAGGTGGAGAGAGTTCCTATCTAATAACCTATATTTTATCTCTGAAATAAGAGCTGAAGTGGAGTTAGTCACTGAGAGTGAATACAGTTGGGGTTTGGGAAGCAGGGCTGGAGATTTGGGAGGAGTGAAGATGGTTTGAAATAGTCACTATGGAGACTAGGAGAATTGCACTAAGCTTGCCAGAAAGTCCAGAGGGCCCACCTAGGGTTGGTGACCATGAACTGTCATTCAGCGTTTTGCGAGGGAGTTGAGGGTAATTGCAGAAAATGACTGAATTAATGGAAACATGATCTAAGTTAGACTGGGAGAGAAATAAAGATAGAAGATCACTAACCAGCTGGAAGAAAGTCAGGAGACAGTAAACTGGAGGTCCCGATGAGCTAGGAACAAGCAAGTAATGAAGAAAGGGGTTTATGGACAGAGATGGGATGCTTCAGTTACTGATTTTTAGAGGGAGGGCATTTTCAAATGTTGATAAGGTTCAGAGGTGGAGGGGATAAGGTCACTGAAGATGAGGATAAGGAGATCAGAGTTGGCGCCATGTGGACTATGAAGCCACTAAGGATGATGGCAGGAACCGGAGTAGAGTGGGAGGCTCTGCACCATGCCGAAACCTTCAACCAAGAGGACAGGAGATGGTTTAAGGATGTCAGTCTCAGAGGAACAGGGATCTTGCATGGGGTCTTGAAGTGGTACTAGGGAACAAGAGAACTGATGAACAGGAAGGTCTCCTGACCCTGAGGAATGTGCTTTTCCTGAAAGAGCTGCAGGGGAATCAGGCTCTCAGGGGACAGCCAGGCTGCAACAAAGGCAAAAAGATAGTCAGGGAAGAGGCTAAAGACAGAGGGGAGTTAGTTAATTACGGAGTGGAAATTCCAAAGGGCTCCACGGACAGGTTTGGGACAGGGAAGAGACTGGAAGTGAAGTAAGGGGAAGAAATAGAGTAATGTGGTGATGACAGTACAGAAAAGAACAGATGATAAGAGGGGCTTATCCTGTGAGTGGTGACTGAAGAAAACCGGTATATGTGCTTTGCTGGCTATGCTGCCAGTGGCCTGTGAGACAAGGGTGGACATCTGATATTCAGCCATGGTCCAGAAGTGAGACCAGGGGTCTGCAGTACACAGCCAGCCCTCCCACTCTGCATGGTCTACTGGCTTTGATAGCAGCATTCCTTTATCTGTGAGGGAGAATTGCTCAGTCCTCCCCACGGTCCCAGGGCTGGTGCTGTCACAGGTCTCTCTCCTGGGTGTTGTTTCATAAGGGAGGGACCTGATGCAGCATTGACATTTTACCCATCGTGGTAAGGCATGAACACTAATCAAATTTTCAACAATTTAAGTGCCACTACTTCTTCGGTATTTATTTCCTTGGCTTTAGAATAGTAATAAAAGGCAATCCCTAGTTTCTTCATAATGCATAACTGTAAATTCCTCCTTAAAGCAGATTTGATAAAACAGTTATTTTCCAGAAGGGCAATGTTATACACAGATCCCGTTCTTAACCAAGCACTCAAAGAGTAAAAAAGTAGCTACAGACCAACAACAATGAATCTTTAATTCTAAATAGTAAATTATGTTTTATAGCCCATTACATAATAATAAAAGTTACTACATACAGTCCCCAAAGGGGCCATGTATGGTAAGATGCACCACGTAAATATATTACACTGTCAAGCTATAACTAGATGCTAATTCATGATAAGACATTTAATTAGCAGTTTTATTGCTTTCTCAGAATACAGATAGGCTTTACCCATCTTAAAATGGAAAGAGTTTCAGATTATGAAACTCTTTTACCATACTCACTGTAAAAAAAAAAAAATCACCTGCAATTCCACCACTCGGGTAGAAACAGTGTTAACATTTTACTATTAATATATCCAAAATTTTTTCAATATGTTCACTGCACACACACATTTAAATGTAATGTATATACATTTAAAGAAACAAAATCATTCCGTATGTACTTTTTTTCACTTATTATAAACATCTTTCGATGTTAAAAACAACTTTTAATGTTTGCATTATTCCACTGAATTTCCTATTGAGAGACATATATAGGGACTTCCCTGGTGGTCCAGTGCTTAAGACTCCACGCTTTCAATGCAAGGGGCGCGGGTTCGATCCCTGGTTGGGGAACTAAGATCCCACATGCCACGTGGCATGGCCAAAAAAAAAAAAAAAGACATACACATTTTCCCCCTAATTTCACACTATAATAAAGCCACAATAAATATATTTGTGCTTTTTTTGAAAAACCGATCACCTCCTTTGGACAAATCCCCAGAATGAAACTGCTGGGTCAGTTAAAATTGACCCTAGTTTGGTCTCTTGTATCAATTTACACTCCCATTTTCACATACCTTTATTATCACAAAATCTTATAAAAAAATTTTTATCTCATACGTCTGATAATCAAAAAACTCGTTGCATCAATTTGCCTATAGGTTAACAAGAAAGTTAAACTTTTTTCATGTCTATTGGCCACGTGTATGTCATTTTCTCCTATGCATGGCAGCCACTTGGAAGTACCTCTGATCCTCTATCCATTGGCAGATGGGGAGGTGGGGGACCGACTAGGAGTAATGCCTGCACTGAGGGCAAAGGGCAGACACGTGGGAGCCCAGGGATAACATTCTGGAGAGTGAAGCCTTTCAGAGCCTCAGGAAGTCGGGATGTGAGATCCCTTTATTCTGGTGGAACCTCATCTAATGAAACAGGAAACTGCAGCCTGATCTGCAGATCTGAGGCACTTCAACACGCAGTCAAGTGAATAGAGAGAGGGTCCAAGGGCAGTTCACTCACTGTGTCCCTTGGCAAAGAATGGTTATGGAGAGATTGCCTTTTGCTCAAAGATGCATCAGCAAGAGAATAACAAATGAGAGGCTTATGGAAAAAACACACAGAGAACACTGTCCTGAGATTTCAGAGGAGTAGAACTCTGAAAAGAATTTCTTGGAGGAAACAAGAAAATGTGAGAAAGCCGTTTGGCATTCTCATTAGGATACAAGAAGACACTACATCCTCTATGAAAATAGGAGTCAAAAAGTCTTAACTTTTTCCTCTGTGTGTGTGTGTGCAATTAAAATATTATTGGTATGTATTACTTTTTTGATCAAGAAAACATTCAATAATCACTATATATAACATTCTATTAATGACATGACCACAATTACATAAAAATATTTACAATATTGACATAAAAATGTCAAAGAAGGTTTTAAAACTGCTTAATGTTAGTTTTTTTCTGTGATATCACAGGTGATTCTCTTTCTTCCATCTTTCTGTACTTTCCAAATTTTCTATAATGAACATGTACTATTGTTATAATGAGGGGGGGTAGTGGTGCTTTATTTTAAATAAATTCTTTGCTTAGTATGTTACTGGACCAACTACTTACATCCACTATGAAATCTTCAGCCTTCAGTTCAGGTTCTAGCACCATGTCACTGGGTTTAGCACTGGCGACCCCTTTCGGAAGGCTTTCGTAGTTTTCCTAGAAAAGACGAGGCTCCTCATGTTAGAACTCCAGTTCTTCATTCTACAGTGTTTGTGTCACGAAGAGGTTCCCTCTCTAAAAACAGCACTTTACCAAAAAAAGTGGGTAGAGATTTCCCTAACAAATATATGGCTTCTGCCTATGCCATCTTTTAATCAAATCACAATAGTGCGATTTTCATAACAGCATTTCACATTGAAAAAAACGTGGCATTAACGTATTAGTAAAACAAGTAAAGTGTGACCCAAGGAAGTATCATGAGGCAGGGTGTGGTTATCAGTGTGGCTTTTGTTATGGGCTTTCTGGCAAAGAGAAAACCCTTCAACAAGCAGGAGAGATAACTGATAACTGAACTAAAGAAGGCAAGCAAGCACCATCTGCGAGAACCTGATAATCTGCGAAAGAAGGAATTAGTTAAAGCAGGTCCTTAGAGTGTCAAAGAAGCTCATGCAGATGCCTCATTTTGAGGCCCCTTTTTCTTACATTCATTTTCTTGCCTTTGGGTCTAGACAAAATTTGAGGCCCCCCTCTCACTTCTGACATGAGAGAGTAAAGGTTTTGGAGTAAATGAGACTTGGCTTTGAATCCTGGCTCACTAACTGTGCTTCCATAGGCAAATTATTTAATCTCTCCCAAGCCTCAGTTTCTTCATCTGCAGGGCAGGGCTCAGAAGACTGACGTGAGGATTAAGTGAGAACGTGTAAAGGGCTTAGAATACAGTCATGGTATTGTGATGGGCTAATGGTTTCCTCTTGGGGGTCAGAGGACCTTTCAACTTACCCTTTTAATCTTTATTTGTCCCATAGGCTGAGTCTCACCCACAAACTTGTATAGATTACGGCATTCAATTTTCTTTAAAATCACTCGTGCAGCATCCAATTTGGGATCAGCAGAGTATAAAATCTCCAGAAAAATGTTATCTGCCAATTTGATGAAATTTCAGTTACATTAAAATGAAAAAACAAGATTTTAAAAGACTCATACATTGCTGTATGACTCATACATCATCTGAAATGATTTCAAGCAGTTTACAAACGTAGGTACACTATGATTATAACAATATGAAAAAAAATTTTAAAGCCTGAAGTGAAAATTCCTTTGTAAAAGTGTTGCAGTCAATGTCTCAGATTTGCTTCAAGGTAATCTAATGAGTGGGAAAGGGGAGAGATGAGACGAGACTGCACTGGAGTTGATGACTTGAGACTGGGTTTTAGGTACAAAGGGGTGTATTAATTTATTGTTATGTTGGTTTTTAAAAAATATTTATTTATTTGGCTGCGTCAGGTCTTAGTTGCAGCATGCAGCCTCTTAGTTGCAGCATGCGGGATCTAGTTCCCTGACCAGGGATGGAACCCAGGCCCCCGGCATTGGGAGCTCAGAGTCTTAACCACTGAACCACCAGGGAAGTCCCTATATTATGTTTTTTTAAAGAGAATGATACTTAAGGATTACAAAATTATGTCTGAGATCTGCTTCAAAATGGCCCAGGGTCTGATGGGGTGAAGGGATGAAGCAGAACTGTCATGCGTTGATAACTGCTGCAGCTAAGTGATGAGGCTAAGTGATGTAAATTTCCTTAATAATAAGTTTTTAAGGGAATTCCCTGGCAGTCCTGTGGTTAGGACTCTGTGCTTTCACAGCCAGGGCCTAGGTTTGATCCCTGGTCGGGAAACTAAGATCCCGCAAGCCTCGCAGTACGGCCAAAAAAAAGAAATAAAAAATGTTTTTAAAAGTTTCATTCCATGACGATAGAAGGTAGTTTATTTTCCTTCTTACTTTTTCTTCCAACTTTTTATTTTGGAAATTTCAAAATAAAATACGCTTCACTGAAATGTATCCACTGTTAACATTTTCCCACATATGCAAACACTCTCTCCGTGTGTGTGCATACATAAATTTTTGAGGAAACATTTGAAAATTACAGACATCAATACCTTTCACTCCTAAATACTTCAGCATGTACCTCCCAAAAACAAGAACGTCCCCCCAACATAACCACAATCATGCCAAGAAATTTAATACTGATATAAAATTATCTGACATACAATCTATATCTGAATTTGCTTAATTGTTCCAATAATGCAATTTATGAATTTTTGTTGCTGTTTAGAGAAACCAATCAAGTATTATGGATGACATTAGTTATTGTGTTTTATAGTCTCCTCCCATCTAGAACTAGGATAATTTCCCTGACTTCTTTCATGATGTTGACATTTTAGAAAAGTTCAGGCAGTCATTATGTAAAATGTCCCAGACCTTGAACTTGTTCGACTGCTTCTTCACCATTAGATTCAAGGAAAACACTGTTGTCGAGAACACTGTATAAGTGTTACAACATCTAAGAACACTATATAAGAGCTTGGCTCAGTGCATCACATCACAAGTCACATAATGAGCTTTGTTATATTTACGGGTTATGTTAAGTTCCAACAGTTGGTTAAAGCAATAACCACCAACCCGCCCCGAATTTCTCTGTTATAAATGTATCTTTCCCTTTGTAATTAACAATCTGCAGGGTAATATTTTGAGAGAGTCTGATTATCCCAATAAGTTGTCAACCAACGGTTTAGCATTCATCGATAATCGTTGATTGAATCAATCATCGCATTTTGCAAAGTGAGTTTTATTAAAATGCCTTTTCTTGGCAAAATAAAATATTAGTAGTCTATGTCAATCACGTCACCCACAAATATATGTACCAATCCACGGTTAACACATTCCTCACCCTCTCAGTGATGCTGTCTACAAACCCATCTCTCCATCTTTAGTTTTCATTATTTCTTTACACATTATATGCACAGTTTGAAAAACAGAACAATTTTATTTTAACATAAACAAGACCAGGGGTGGGATGAACTGGGAGATTGGGATTGACATATATACACTAATACGTATAAAATAGATAATTAATGAGAACCTGCAGTACAGCACAGGGAATTCCACTTAGTTGTACAGTAGAAACTAACAACATTTTAAAACAACTCTACCCCAATAAAAAACAACAGCAACAACAACAACAACAAAAACAAGACCACGCTTTTCTTAGCCATGCTTTTATCTATCCTACTCCCAGGTGAATTAAAGAAATGCTTTTCCCCATGACAGAATCTCACTTCCCGAAGGCCCGTCTAATCCCTGAGGTTCATCTCAAAAGGCACCTGATTGTGAAACCTTCCCTAATTCTTCCAAACCAGAGATGTAATTCCTCTTTGAACCCCATGGAACTCAACTGATACTCTTCTTATGCCTTTCATCTTATTCTACCAGGTACAGGTTTTGGGGTGGACTTATATTTTCATTTCTGTTGGCTAAATGGGTAAAAGAAGGATTACTGGATCACAGGATACATATATGTTTAAAAGAAAATGCTCAACTTTTCCCAAGTGGCTGTACCACCTGCATTCCCACCAGCCATGTATGAGAGCTCTATTTGTTCTACATATATGTTTTCAGAAGAGTCATGTACAAAAGTAAACTGCTTGTCTATTAAATTTAATGACTAAAATATCACTAAAATAGTGTAAACAACATTCAACTTGGGATCAGAAGACTTGGTTTGAGTTCAGCTTTGCCATTTTTTAGGATAAGTTGCTTTCCCTCATTTGGCCTGTTTCCTCATTTGAGGGGTTTTAAGCAGATGATCTCTAAGGTTCTTTCGAATTTAACATTCTAAGAACTCAATTTAATTAAGGGATTTGGGGGTAGGGTCTTGCAGGGGAAGGGAGGGAAGGGGTAAGGTCCACCTATTGCTTAGGAATATTGAGGGATAAAGACCAAGGTTTAGCATTGGTATTTGCTAAATGTATTAGCATTTAGAAAATGGTTACTTAAGACAGTGGTCATAACATTTGCAATGCTTAAGATAGCTACATCCAGATAAGCTGAAACATCCATTAGAAATAGGAATTTAGGAAGCAGTGAGAACAGATAAAGAAACAGCATATTCATATGATAGACTACTACTCAGCAATAAAAAGGAATGAACTACTGGTACATGCAATCTGGATAAATCTGAAATACATAATGCTGAGTGAAAGAAACCTTACACAGAAGAATACATACGGTATGATTCCATTGATACAAAAGTCTAGCACAGGCAAATAGTGGTTGCTTCTCGGGGTGAGGTAGGGACAGGAATTGACTGGGACAGGGCATGAGGGAATTTTCTAAGGAGAAGATAAGGTTCTGTGTCCTGCATTTGTTTAGCAAATGTTACACTAACCATTTTTACATTTATACAAATTGCATGTAACTTTTACATCAAAAGAAAAAAAATCTATACAGAATTAGTGAACTTTAGTTAATCTGCATGAAGGAGTTAGGGTAAGGAGTTAGGGTAAAGTATACTGACGTCTGAAAGGAGTTAGGGTAAAGTATACTGACGTCTGAAATTTACTTTAAAATGCATCAAACCTTAGACAGATTATTAAATGGGTAGAGGGATGGTAGGTAATAAATATGTGATAAAGCAAGTCCAGTAAATGCTAGAATTTAGGTGGTAAGTATACAGGTTTTAACTGTAAAATTCTTTCAACATTGCTGTATATTTTCAATACTTACCCCCAAAATGTGAAAAAACATTCTAAAAAATTTGAAAATAAGAAGTGAAGATTTGGGACTGCACTGGTGGCACAGTGGATAAGACTCCGAGCTCCCAGTGAAGGGGTCCCGGGTTCGATCGCCTGTCAGGGAACAAGATCCCACATGCAGGCCGCAAATAAGAAGCCTGGCTGCCACAACTAAGGAGCTGGTGCAACCAAATAAATAAATAAAAGCAAACTGATTTAAAAAAAGAAGTGGAGATTTTTAAAGTAAAGATAAGGTGAGTTGCTTTTGGAAATGCAGCAAAAGTAAGGAAGGCTCTCACATGGTCCTATTCCTTCAAGGTCATGTAGTTAAGGACAATAAGGATTATATGACTGCTCAGAAATAATATGCAAGAAAAGTACAATGATCCCTGTCTCAAATGATGAAAGCTGGAAAGGCTATATGCTTGTTCTCCCATACTCTGGCAGATAAAGCACAAAAATGTAACCTAATTTCCCTGTCTGGGATTTTTGACATTGTTACAACATCCAAGTATGTGATCAGTGAACTCATCTTACCGAATGAGGTAAAAACCAGTTTGGGTGTTCTAGAACTTTCATGGTGAGCAAGAGCTATGTAGAGTGATGAGCACTTAAGACCTCATTAAAATGTATGATATTTTAATGGTTTGTCAGTTAACCCCAAAGTGTATAAAATGCAGAATTCATTTCTTTTCACCAAAAGATAATTTAAATGTAATATAATGTTACAGGATGAATGGCTGGGACTGGTCTCTGAGGACAGCTGAAGATGATTTTTTAAAACACAGCATCACTTGCTTCATTATGAGCAAAAGTTAAAAATAAATATCCAGGGAGGCGCCTTCAAGATGGCAGAGGTATAGGATGTGGACATCACCTTCCTCCCCACATATACGTCAAAACTACATCTACATGTGGAACAGAACACCTACTGAACGCTGGAAGAAGACCTCAGATTTCCCCAAAGGCAAGAAACTCCTCACATACCTGGCTGTTTGGCTGACACGGTCTGGTGCTCTGGCTGGGTGTCAGGCCTGAGCCTCTGAGGTGGGAGAGCCAAGTTCAGGACATTGGTCCAGCAGAGACCTCCTGGCCCCATGTAATATCAAACGGCAAAACATCTCCCAGAGATCTCTATCTCAATGCTAAGACCCAGGACCACCAAACGACCAGCAAGCTACAGTGATGGACACCCTATGCCAAACACCTCAAGACAGGAACACAATCCCACCCATTAGCAGAGAGGCTTCCTAAAATCATAATAAAGTCACAGACACCCTAAAACACACCAACAGATGCAGTCCTGCCCACCAGAAAGACAAGATCCAGCCTCATCCACCAGAACACCAGCA